CCTCCTTTCCCCTTTCCCCTTTTTTTTTTTGTTTTAAAATTTATTATTATTTTTTTTTTTCTTGTTTCGCTTTTCCTTGCCTCTTGTCCGGCCGCCTATCCCGCACTCTGTCGTTCGCCGGCGTCGGCCGGTGATGGGGGAGAAGTGGATCGTTGATTGCAGGCTAAGAGAGAAAAAAAAAAAAAAAAAAAAAAGAGAGAGAGACAGTGTGCATACATTTTTATTTATTGCAATCATACACTTGTTTTTCTCCCTATCGTGTGCATAGAGGCACGCACAGCACAGAGGTGAGTCGTATCAACAATGCCGATAACAACGGGGCGGTGGCCCTTCATGTACCCCAGTGCACTCGTAATTACAGCTGTGAGGCGTGAAAAGTCAAATAAAAATAGCAGACAAACAGACAAAAAAACAAAACAAAACAAAACAAAACAAAAAAAGATTTCACGGTCCTTGTACTAACGCCACACAAACAACAACAAAAAGATAATAATAATAGTAATAATAATAAAGCCACACACGTCAAGAAGCCTCCTGTATCATGAGTGAGGCGATTTCTTGTACCAGCGATTCCGCCAAACAGGTCTGATGGGCCTTCACCATGATAGTTATACCCTTCTTGTCCCCCTCCACCGTGTCCTCGCGCAGAAGTACAGCGACGTGTGCCTTCTCTGCCGTCGACTTCCGCGCATGCAACACACCGTAAAATGATGCGACATCCTTAAATATTTCAACCGGTTTCAGCCGTAGTTTCTGTTGTATCAGCGGCATTGCAAGTGGCACATGCGTTAAATTGACGTCAACAAATCCAGACACCATTGGTGCCGCCAACAGAAACTTCCCAAGGATAGTCTGACTGAATTCTGCGGGCGGAATGTCCTTCGGTATCTTCGAGAAATAAGGATAAAAAAGAGGCAACTGTAACGTTGTGGCTGCCGGTTTCTTGCCTCGCGTGTACGCAAGGATAAACGTGAGGGGCTTGACAAGCGAGGGTGGAAGCTGCGAAATAAATCGAATACCCATCTTCCTGCACACAGACTTCGAGCCCTTGATGCGTTCAGCGAGACACACACCTGTGACGCCGCTCCCACCATTCCCCTTTTCTTCTTCTTCCTTCTCCTCCCCCTTTTTTTCCTGCTGCTGCTGCTGTTGATTTGAATTATCTATATTCTCCCTCTTTTTTTTTTTATCATCATTCTTATGAATATTATTTGAATTGCTGTTGTTTGTGTCACTGAAATCAAGTGACTCCAACTGTACACTTTGCTCTGTAAAATTGTCTTCATCGTATTTAATGCAAAGCTGGACGTCATATGCGCTGCTGCTACTTGCCAGATTTGACACTTCCACTTCGAGAGTTAGCAATGTGCACTCCTTATGCACATGGCATGATACCACATTCGCTGTAACACGAAGGTGCCGTTCTTCTAGTAGCACAACGGGGTCAAACACGGCCGCCGCTTCTGCTGCTGCTGCTGCCGCTGCCTGTGTTTCCTCCTTTCCACGTCCCACAGAAGCACGGAGCTGCAATGATTGTGTGTATGGGATTGGCTCTGGGAGCTTCTCATCCGCTGCAAGGGCCCGCGTGACATCAACATTGCGGAACTTTTTCGTAGCCTCATCTTCCTCCACTTCTTCATTGCGTCGTCGTGCGGGGTTCGCCGCGACATAATTAGACGGCCGTAAAAGTTCACGGTTAATGGAATGTGTCTTGCGTGGCACATGGAGACCGGTGCCATGAAGGTGCAGGGAGGCCGCCGTAACCTTCTCCAGTCGGACATCAACGGGCAACTCCTCTCGCGTGAGCGTCGTGTCTTTGATGTAAAATGCTGCCACCTCTCCACGCCGCTCCTCTTCCTTCCGTCGCTGAAGTTCCACCGCGTCGGCACCCAAAAAGTCAAACTCGACTTCGCCATCGTCCATGTTCTCATCATCGTCGCTATCGGATGGCTGCATTAACGAGGGGAGGTGCGTGCAGAATGGCTCGCCAAGGTCAAGATCATCCGGCGGTTTCACCGCATCCTGCGCTCCCACGGCGACAGACAACAACTCCTCCACGTAGAAGGTTGGGCCAATATCTGGGTTCGTGTCGACATGGTAAAAGACCAAATGGGCCCGTTCCTGCACGTCTGGGTAAATGCTGTGACGAAAGAGCTCTAGGCCAGAGTACTCCTCCTTCCCCTTGTCATCATCTCCGTCGTCCTTTTCCTTTTCAGACTCCTGTTGCGGGAGAATGACCGCCCGTAATTCGGCATCTGTCACTGGATCGTCTGGTAGTTTTAACTCCTCCTCACCATGTGACAAAGTTAAATGTCGTGGACAAGGCTGATGCACAAACGCTGCTATTTTCCCCACTGCAGCAACACACGCCACCTGCGCCTCGGGGTGCATCGCGGCAATGCGATCACTCAAAAGTCGTTCGCATGTGAGACGTTTATCCAGCAGCCAGTAGGGATACTCACCGCAGAGAAAAGCCGCCGCTTTAATTATCTGCCACTGAGTTGAGCGTGTAGCGTCACAGTTGAGCAGCGTTGAATTACACAGCAGTTCACTTACTGCTTGAACACCAAACTGCCGCACCGCATTCACACGCGTCAGTACCGTTACCAACTCTCGCTGCACAAGAGCACCATGTTGATAGGCGGTGAGATTCACGAGACTGATGTCCAGTAATATACTAAAGTACCACTCAAAGTCTTGCAACAGGGTATAGTCATCGGTCTGGGCAACTTCAATGACTGTGGCGATAACACGGTTTGACCACTCCTCATCCGGGGGAGACCGCACACGTCGCTCCATCATACTGTTTATGGTGGATACAATATTCTTTTTTGTTACAATTCCTTGCAGAATCTCCAGCGCTTTACGTCGGATGGTGGCATCCATGTCATTCAGACATGCAAGAATAACTTCCCGTTGATCAATAAGAAGTTTCGGATTTTCCCGCATCATGCGAGACATGGCATCAAGCCCCAAATACTTTAAATTTTGATCGGCATCCTCCACAAATAGTTTTATTTTCTCTGCCGCCAACTTCGTTAATGATGGCACTTTACTCATGCCATTGGCTACAGAGAGTATGCATTCATATTGAACAGATTTTGCTCCTGTTGCACAAATGAGATTTGCTATCGGCTCCACAAGTTTCTTCCCCAGGCGAGGTTCATGTGGGGCAAAATAACCAAACACCTTCACAATTTTAATAAGCGTCCAATTGCTGTGTACGGTGGAAAGCATCGAGAAAAAAGGCACAGCAAGACCAAGAAAATTCGCTGGATTGCGGCGAGCAAGTTCACACAGGATACACACCACCGCCCCACGTACGGCAGGATCATTGTCGCAACGTTCGCTGTGATCATCCAGCTTTTCCTTCAGCCGTGGGTACGTTGGCCGCAGGGCGTCAGGGTACTCAAAAAATATGCGATACAGACTAAGCACCGCCTTCTTGCGGACGTAATTGCGTGGATGATTCAGCAGATTCACAACATCCACAACAAGGTCCCTCGCAATGTCCTTTGTGCAGATAGAGGAAATACAGTAAAGCGCAAACCCCACTTCGTACTGATTAGCACTTGCAAGATCGCGCTTCAGTAATGCCGTCAGAAGCGGCAAGACGTCTGTCTTCGGGGTGAAGGTGATGCATGCCGCCATGTATCCAATACGCTTGTGCGCAAATGATCTATCAGCCATGACTTCAATAATGTTAAACGCCCCGTATGCTGCGGAGTATCCGAGCATAGAGAAGTACACCGCCTTCAGCACCGCTGTGACCTTCACACTCTGCACCGTGGATGTAATCTCCTTCCGTGTCTCCGCGATGCATTGCTCAATCACCTCCGCCTCGCTCTTCTTGGCGGAGCGCAACTTCCGCACAACTTCCGCAAGGGAGTTTTGGAAAAGAATCTGACTCGCCACCCGCGTTGCCTCCGCCATCACAGAGCCGCAGTGGCAGTACTAACCGGGGGGGAAACCGACCAGTCGGTGCAGCAGGTACCGCAAACAATTCTAAAACAAACAAACCAAATAAAAAAAAAAAAAAGAAATTAATCGGTTCACAGTCAAAAGAGCAACTGACTTGTGTACAAACAAAAGAGAAAAAAAAAAAACAAAGAAGTAAGAAGCAAGAAAAAGAAAACATGTGAACAAACAAAATGTAATGACACACACACACACAGCAATAAAAAACAACAACTAATGAACAGAAAGGAGCAGACGCACGATGTTTTTTTTTTTTTTTTTTTTTAAGGAAGGGAAGTTCCGCAGCAAGAGAAAAGACAATGAAATGAAGACACAGCAGCAGCAGCAGCCTAAAGAAAGCAAAACAAAACAACGAATAATAATAATAATAATAATAATAAAGAAAAAGAGAAACGTTTATTCGTTTTGCATCCGAAAGGAAATGGGCGGTAATGACAATATCAAACGTAGAAGCCATCACATCTCTTGAAGAAACTGTCCAGCCGCCCAGCACCCTTCTTCTTTTCGTTGCTCTCTTGTAATTCCCTTCCCGCCACATGTTGCATCCTTTTTTTCTTTTTTTCTATTTTTTTTTTTTCTTCTTTTCATTGTGTGTGTGGAGGGACATTATTCCCATCCCTCTCTTTCCCTCTGTTCCCCTCCTTACAGTTCGGCCCCAAGAGCCGACACTTTATTCTGAATTCGGCTCTGCGCCTCTTCCTTGATTTCGTTCAGCTTCTTGACCGCTGCACGCACAGCCTCCACGGTCTTTCCAATAAGTAGCAGGTACAGCGGCCGCACGCCCTCACGCAGGCGGTGGGAGTGTTTGTACTTTCGGTCAAAAAAGACACCCTTTCGGATTATTGTAGTTCCCGTTTCCTCCTGCACAGAACGCAACAAATTCGCGCTCTGCATCCGCAACCGAATGCGCTCGGGAAGATCGTTGATGGGATACTCGGCCTCAAAACGAGCACATGTACTGGAAGGATCAACAATGGAGTCAGTCGTCTTCCGCGCGTACGCAAGTGCAGATGCGAGACGTTCCTGTTGTTCTTGTTGTTGCTGCGAGGAAAGTGTAAGGGCGCTAGTGTCCCTGTACAACATGAGGGCTGTAGAATCCTCCTCATTGCGACCGCCACCACCTCGGGTTCCATCTTCCTGCACTGCAACAATTTCAATACCGTCCTCCTTCCCATCCTCATCACCGTCAGACAAATCCGAGTCCGTGCAGGAGCTGGCGGATAAATACTCTTCAAGCCCTGCTGCCCGCGCTGCCGCCTTAAATTGTTCTTCTTGACCGCGGTCTGTAAAGCGTAGCTTCTTTGCCTTCATGTAACCCCTGTAAAACCCCGTGTTGTGCCGTACAATGCCCTCCTTACGTTTCTCTCGTAACTTTGCAGCCCGCTCATATAGTTCCTCTGGTACCTGCTGCTGTGCACGTTCAAGGCCCTCACAGAGTTCCACGGATAAGTCGTCATCCTTCCCACGCATAAAAAAGCTTACCGCCTTGCCTTTTTTACCAGCGCGACCGGTGCGACCTATGCGATGCACGTAAGCCTCGTAGTGATCTGGAAGTGTGTAGTTAATGACCAACTCCAGATACGGGATGTCAAGACCCCGCTCCGCAACACCTGTTGCAATAAGAATAAACTGATTGCCAGGAGCAAAATGCTCCAAGGCAAACTCACGATCTAATGGGTCCATGCCACTATACAAAACGGCAATACGCTTCTGGTAACCACAGGCAGAAAGACGCGCAAAGAGTTCGTCACACTCTTCCTTGCGTTGGGCAAATATGATAATGAGATGCTGTCCAGTACCACCCTCATCACTGAGAATTTGCAGCAGTTTTAAAAACTTTTTATCTTCTGTGCGATTCGCCTCCTCCACTTCATACACTTCTTCATCAAAAAAGAAAAAGCGCTGCTCGACATTCGAGGCGGGAGTAGGTTTGCCCCCCACTGTAACCTCCACAGGATCTTGCATATGACGTATGATGACTTTCTTCAGTTCTTTTGGCATGGTTGCACTAATGAGCGCCAATTGTCTGTCAGGACGAATATTTTTTAAAAAGGCCTCCACGTGTTCCATGAAGCCACTGTCAAACATGCGGTCTGCCTCATCAATCACGACAAAAGATGTGCGCCGCAACGAAATGACGGCTCCACCATTCACGGTGAGAAGATCCAAAAGTCGACCTGGGGTGCACACCATGACTTCACATCCTGCTCTGCAGTGTCTGATGTTGTCTGCAAGCGGTGTTAGGCCGTACGAGGAAACAAATCTCAGCTTGGCTGCCACACACAGCTTTTCTGCCAGTTGGGCAATTTGCGCAGCCAGTTCACGTGTGGGAACAAAAATAAGGCCAATAGGCCCTTCACCCTTTCCACATGGTTCTTGCCCAACACAATGACGAATAAGCGGCAGGAGATAGGCGAGTGTCTTTCCAGAACCTGTTTTGGCTGTAATGAGGAGGTCGCGACCGCTCATCAACGCCGGAGAACCAAGAGACTGCACGGCAAATGGTTGTTCAAACCCTTCACGCGCTAGCAAATCAAGAACTGAATCTGGTAGACCTGAACCATTCCAAGTACGCATGGGTCGAGGTGGATCACGTCCACGCAATTTTGCTCCATCCAGCTCCGCTATGAGCCGCTTTAACTCATCCGCATCGAGGTCCTTGACGTCTGGAGGGGCAACGTAAAACTCCTTTCGAATATGCGGATATTGTATGGTGCTGTGGTCTACATATTGCAACTTACGCAGCCGTTTCACATCCTCAGGGGGAGGAGGCGGTAGTTTGGCCGACACAATTTCTGCCATAAGATCGTGCGACTCATCTGTTGCACTCACAACCGTGAGCGCAGTTGACATGACGGGCTTCAGCAACTCCTCCTTAAGATGCTGCAGCGCATGCGCGGGTGTTACACCGGCGACGGTTGAGTCTACAGTACCAACACGCTTTGCAGCGCAGGTGAGTTGAACGTGGGCAAGTAGCCTCTCCCGAAAGTCCTCGATGTCGCCATCCTTTTCGCCCGTATCAGCCTCACCTTCGCTTGGTGTGGACGCGGCAGCTCCAAAGGGATCATCGCCGGAGTCCTCATCGCTCAGCACAAAATTTTCATCCACACGAAGGGTACTATTCAGAATACTATTTTTATGATGATTGCCTTTTAGTTCCCCACTGTTGCCCGTGTGATGCTGCCAGGCATTTTCATCATCATCGTCGTCATCATCGTAGGAGTCATTGCTATTCCTGGCCCCACGGCGTTGCTCCAGCAACGATATCTCCTTGTCCCGCGTCTCAAGCAGAGCTTTGCGCTCCGCGAGTTTTTCCCATGTGGCAGCGGCCGGCTTCGGCTTATCGTTGTTGCTTTCACTATCCTTATTTTTATAACGTGTGTGTTTCCGCTTTCCCCGTGTGTCATTCCTATAATCGCTGGAGGAAGAGAAAAGCGAATCTGAGGAGCTTTTGCTGCTCCCACTGCTCTCCCTCTCACGCTTACGCATAACTCCCTCCTCCCCCGCCTCTCGTTCGTTCTTTTTCCCAAAAGAATAAAATCACCCCAACCCTCACACTTTCTTTCTTTCTTTCTCTCTCTCTCTCTTTGTTTATTTATTTGTTGTACGGTTTCGTGTGGATAAGTAAACAGGTGCACACATAAATACACACACAACCACACACATACACGCAGGTGTCGCAGAGAACAGAACGCCACGAACACACACACACATACAAACACACACACACGCACGCACACACAGACACGCACACACACACACACAAACAAGAAAAGCAGAGGAACACAACACAAGGGAGAAAAGAAACAGGAGCAGCATTTGTGGAAAAGAAAAGAGGCATTCACATCACACAACAGATGTAACGTCAACAGAAACAACACAACGCTTAGTATCAACCGACCAAAAAAGTGACCAAAAGAAAACACGCAAACAGAATGAAAACAAAAACAAAAGAACAAAAAAAGAAGAAGAAGATCTACCGTTTACAATAGTCCCAATTACATAATCTCCAAAAGTTGCTTTCGCGCGGCAGTGTGCACTTTGTGATCCATACGAAATAACTTATGATCACCGTTCATGGGCAATGGAAAAGGCAGCGCCTTGGCTTCCGCACAGATGAACGTAAACGGTGAGTCTACTTGTATTTCTTCTTCAGTGAACATCTCACGGTACGTGTCACGGTCCAGACACTCCACCAGGTAAACATATCCCAGCAACACGCGTGTAGGATAATGTTTTGGAAATTGTTGAGTCGGTTTCATAAACTTTGAGTAGTGTTCCTCTACTTCTTTAATATCGTGTGGCTGTGTCGAGGCCGCGTGGATCCAAAGACGACCCCTATAATCTGTATGCCACACACGTCCCTCGTGGAACTTGATGCCACTCACAAGTAGCCCTGCCCATGGCTGATGCATTGATAGGCAGATACCGTCATCATTTATGCGCATCGTGAGTGAAGGTGTAAAACGGGTGGACACACCAGTTGACATGTCTGCCACCACGGCAGTCTCCCCTGTCGTCGCCACATTCGTCTCGTCTATGGTTGATTCCTCCGCATCCGCACCGCCACGCGCCGCATCAAGACCATCCGATTCAACCTGAGAATGCTCCTCCTGTCGTTCTTTCTGCGCCTCCAGAAATAAATGCGCGTCGTCTTCGTAGTAATTGACCTGAACGCGACGCGACAGTTCTACCACACGACGTCCTGTGGGTTTTTTCACCGGTGACTCCTCTCTGTTTGTGACGCAGGTGCTACTCGCCGTGGAGGGTTTCTCAACACTGCCATCCAGACTATACCATATTTTTTGCATGAGAGAGGGGAGTGGTAATGCCCGTGCTTCCTCAACGTTGTATTCGCCGTCGTCTTCGTCTTCAGCGCAACAGCTAACAGACGACTCAGAGGAGGCAAGACCATTCGACTCCACCGCTGGACCTTCTGGGCAGCCGAGTGATACGTTTTGGTTCATGATATCCAAGTGAACCCTATACGCCCCCTTGGCGCGGTGCATTGCGGCCACTTTGCGACGCCGTTCTGCAAGCGCTTCGTCCTCATCTGCCTTTTGGCGTTCCTTTGGTGACATCCACGCATTCTTCGGTGATAAAAAGACGGCTGTCTGATCGTCAATCACCTTTGTACGTTTAGCACGTGTCTCTGCGTAGTGCAAGAGCTCATCCCGCTTCCTCACGGATGCCTCGTATTCCTCTTGATTTTTCGCTACCGCGGCTGCACCTATGAGGCCCTCCTGTACCTTGATTTCATACGCCACACACGTTGATGGGTCCAACCCACAGAAGTAACATTTCTCATTCGATTCCTGTTCACATATGATGCGTCCACAGTTGGCACAGTTCCCGCGGAAAGCGTGTGTTGTGGCAAAACAACCGCATTCAACAAATCCTGGTTTCAACGCAGCGGCGCCACTTTTATCGGCAGCTTTTGATAACAACGTGCCTTTCCTTTTCCCAGCTTTCCTCCCTGTTGCCGCCAGCTGTCGTCCCTTACCTCTATTTCCATCCGCACTCCTCCCCTCTGGGGCAGACATTGTGGGCGCAGCAGGGGTGTCATCAAAGGGAGGCCCTCGATCGACACGTCGCTTTGTCACCTCTGCCGCAACGGCCTCCCCGATCATAAGTGTCTCACACCAGTCAAACACCTCCCGCTTAGAGCCACATGTCGCCAGCATGTTCGCCATGTTGTCCAACTCCTCACCGACAAGGCCAAGAAAGTTGTTGTCCTCAATCTCCTTCTTGATGTAACGGACAAGAGCCTCCTTGATCGTCTCTGCAGGGCTCATCATGGAAGGAGCATTCCATCGTTTGGGTGGCATCCGTCCTTGCAAAGCACACACTTTCACCAAAAAGCAACGACCGAAATATATATATATATTACCAATAGACCAAAAACAAACAAACGGAGAGAGACAAATAAAAGAGACAGCAGCATCAACAACAGAAGAAAAAGGATGGTAATAGTGGGTAAGAAAAATAAACACACACACACACACACAAACATACACACAAGAAAGTGAAGCATCCCCCAGTCCGTCCCATATATATATTTATATACCGGATAGAGGTAGACACTTCAGAAATGAGGTCTGCTTAAGAGTTCACATGTGTTTTATGTCTCCAGAACATCAGTATTGGCAAAATACGGCAGCATAATGCCTTCGCGCCACGTTATTTTTCTCCTTACTGCAAGCAGCATCTTGCCAATATCCCCGTGACAGACAAGCAGTACACGTTTTCCAGCAAAGTTGGCGTCCACACGCCGTAAAACACGGGCGGCACGATCATAGCATTCGTCAAACGTTTCCGCCCCATCGACAGAAAGAAAGTACAAGACCCTATCCCCTTGTACAACATTTTCCCCGGCGTGCGTTCTGATCTGTTCCATAGGCTTTCCCGTCAGCACACCAAATTCACGCTCCATTAGTTCAATCTCCGTCTCCACATTAACAGAAAGAGCCTCACCAATGATGCGAGCGGTCTCATTCGCCCGCTGCAATGGTGATGTTAATATGATGTCATACGTCATTCCTCTCTCCTTTAATTTCTGCGATAGCGCAGTCGCCTGCTCCCGCCCCAACCGTGTGAGCGGGCGATCACGTCGACCGTTCAAAAGCCCTTCAAAATTGTCTTCGTCTTGACCATGTCTGCAGATGTGTACAACAGCCATAAACCAAAGCGGAACGATTACGACGAGGGCTCCCTTTCACTGGAATGAACGCAGAACAATTAAAAAGTAATAAGAAAAGAAAAGAAAAGAGGAAAAAAAAAAAAAAAAATGAGACTCCACAATTACCCTTTTATGCACCCCTTTGGTACACATGCGGTATATGGAGTAGGATCAAGAACAAAATATCAACAGGCCCACAGACTCTGTCGCGACATCTCCTTCTCGCTCACTCATGAGGGAGAAAACCAATGACATCTTGGGTCGTTCTATACGAGAAACGTCACGGTAAACACAAAGTTCGCTTCTCGGCGAAAACAACCCTAAAACTGTGACTCAGACCACATCCCCACAGAACGCATCACCCGGAAAAAAAATCTCTACGGATAACGACAGGCATTCACGCAAATAACACTTCCCTCCCACTTTTCCCTTTCCATTTTCTTCTTTATAATATATATTAAATTCCTTCTCCTTCTTGCATTTTCATCTCCCCCTTTTCTTTTATTTATTAATTTATTTATTTTTTTTTTTTTTGACCCCCCACCTCTGTCCTTCGCTATGTTACATCTCCTTCTTGCCTCCTGCCCCACAAAAAGTGCGAGGAAAAACGCAAGAGAGAAATAAAAAAAAAAAAAAAAGAAAAAAAAAAAAACCATGGGGACATACACACACACAGACAGACAGAGGGCAAGAATACATATATATGCTTCTGTATTTATGTAATTCAGCAAAGAGGCGGCATAAAAGGCTGCACGATGTTGGCGACCTGCAGAAATAATATCAACGCCGTGGGAATGTTTGTGAGGGTAGGAGGAGGGGGGAAAAAGTTTTTTTGTTTCTCCCGCTCCATTGTCTCCTTACACATTACGGGGGCAGGGAAACGGAGGAGAAAAAGCACGCGCATCGTCATAAAAAAAACAAAAACAAAAAAAAAACAAAAACAAAAAAAGGCACAAATGCATTTTAAGAATTCCGTCCTTTCACTTTTTTCCTTCCCCTTCCCCTTCCTTTTTTTTTTTTTTCTTCTCCATCATCCCTCGTTTTATTTGCGAGTTACTGAGGGAGGGGTGTAGAGAACGGTGTGCGGCCTACGGTCTTTCCATGCCCACTAGAAAAGGAAACTGCCTCCCGTCTGCCTCCCGCCCTTCCTTCGCCTTCGCCATCGCCTGCCACTCCGACCACGAAAGAAGTACATGAAGTGCGCTCGGCTCGTGGTCGTCCAGAAGCGACTCATTCACTTCACGGGCAATTCTGCACGGGGATGCCTCCGAACACTCCGTCGCGTCCGTCCCCGTGATGGTTGCCAAGGTTTCAACATAAATTTGATGTGCCATCGCTGCATCAGACATGTCGGCAATCAGCGGACTCACCTTTTCACATAGAAAGAGTAACGCCGCTGATTGATCACCCTTTGCACGCTTCATGGCCTCCATGGCCAACAGTTTTACTATGAACACACTTCCCTGAGGAAGGGATGCGGCCGCGTCCTCGTACTGCTCATTTAGACACAATAACTGCAGACGCTTGCGCTTCTTCATGGACTCCAGTACAGTTTCAACACCCTTACAACCAACCGAATTATTATTATTATTTTTATTATCATTGGAGACATGAATTGTACCACTGTTTTTTCCGCTTCCATTACTATTCTTCCTTCCATCATCATGTGACACGACATCGTTGCGTAATTCCTCTTGATTGACACAAATGCCTTTGCCATTACGCCGTACACGACGCCCGGTCACCTCCTTCGTTTCTGTTGTTGCCGATGTTTCCGCCATCGGTGTCGTCCCTGTCCTTGTCATTGTCTGCAGTTCTCGTAGCTCCTCATTAAGTGCGGTGAGAGATTCCACAAATCCCTGTCGGATGAAATACGACTGCAGGATGGAGGCAAGAACGATTTCCTCATCGTAGCCTTTGTCACGTATCACCGCCTCCTCCACAAATTTCCAACCAACGTTCTCGTACGACCCCATTTATTCCCTCCTTGTCCTTTTTTTTTTTTTCTTCCTTCTTCTTCTTCCTCGTCCTCTCCTTCCTTCGCAGTTCCCCGTGTGTCGCCTTCCTTCACACACACACTCACGCCCGCTCGTTCACAGGGTAAAAACTAAACACACACACACACACACACAAAAAAAAAAAAAAGGGAAAACCAACGCACACACACAACCGACCAAACAAACTTTTCGTTGCTGTGGAATCACAAAATGGGCTGCTTGTGCTTATGTGTGTGTTGCCGCCTTGACTTACCCACCCCGTTGTGACGCGTACGGGGAGAATGCGAACTAAAACAAACCATAAGAAAAGGAAAAGAGGCATGTTACGGGAACACACACAGAATGCACAGATAGAAAAGAAAAGAAAAAAAAAAAAAGAAAAAAAAAAAAAAAAAAAAAGGGAGGAGGTGAATAAAAACCAAAGAAGACAAAACACCGCATTCACTCCTTCAATTTTATGCTCCCTCTTTTTGGCGCATAAGTCCACAAACTGTAAGGGGTAAGAGAGTTTTACACTCAGTTCACAGGGGGATACCTTTAAATCTTAATATTATTTCCGAATAATTCAAATTGCATTTTTTTTTTTTTTTGACATTCCTTCATATTCTCTTTTTCCCCTCATTGCAGTTTTTTTTTCCACTCCCTCCCACTTCCCCCCTCTATTTGAAAAGGGAAGGAGAAATCAGTTTGTTTTTTTTTCCTCTTTACTTTGGATTCATTTTCTTCATAACGAGGGGTGTTTGCTCAAAGGCTCCGGCCTCCATAAGTTCCCATCTACGCACATCTCCCCTCATACACACCCATATATATGTATATAAATAGAGAGAGAAAGAGGAAGTGGAGGCAATATACATGTGGAAGTACATAAATTACGGTTACACATGTATATTGCATAGGAGTAAAGATATGTGTAAATGAGGAGCGCACACACACATACACACACACACACAAATACACACATATATATATATATATATATACCCCCAATGAAATTGTCAACTCCCACTGTTTCTCTCTTCTCATATTCCAATGAGAGGGGCGATTAAAACGGCAAAAAGAAGACATATATTTATATATATATACCTTCTGGAAGTGGGAACATCAGGCCATTTCCCTCTCAACTATATACGTGCACGCAAAAAAGGCTGCAAGAAAAGAAAAGTAAGGGTTGGATTACCATTAAAGAAATAAACAGGCAATGCAAGAAAAAAAAACAAAAAACCCGCAAAATTTACACTGACACACAGAATGGAACGCACATAAAAATAACGACATCCCATTTTTTTCCATCCATCGTGCTTTTCATTCTACCAATCTCGTTTTCTCCCTTTCTTTCCTTCTCTCTCTCCCTCTCTCCCTCTGCCCCTGTGGGATTTTTCCTTTCGCTCTATTCTTCCATTCCCCACCCACAACGTTCTCTCCCGTTCTCACTCATCCCCCTTCAAAGCAATCACCACACACACAAAAAAAAAACTTTCTCACTTGCAATTTGAAAAATTTGGCTTGCACGCAATGACCACAATAATGAGAATGACGACGCCAACTGTTCCAATAATCATAAGTGTAAGTTTAATATTTTTCAGGCACATACTCCGCTTTAGTTGTGTTGATCGCTGCTTAAATTGTTCCGCCTGGTCGGCAAGTGTGTTGGATTTCTCGTGCAGCGTGTCGACACGGTCGCCGCGGGCGAGGACCTTATCCATGTTGTCCATCATGACGTCTACTACTTGGTTGATGTCATCATTCAGCGCCGTGATCTTGTCGTTCTGAGGATTATTGTAGAAATCCATCTTCTGCTGCAGGAGCTTTTTGCCGTTGCGGAGCTCCGTGCCGGGGGGGCCAACGTTCCCCCGCACAAGCGGCTCGACCGCCTCCAGGAACGCAAACACCGTTCGCATACGCATTTCGTTGGTCGTCACGCATGCCACGATGCGGCCCTCGCCGTTGCTGATGTAGTGGTAATTGACTCCCCCCTCCTTGTCTTCAATCGTCTTGCGGCGGTACTCCTTCCCAGGGACGGTGGCGATCACCTTCTGCATCGTCTCCGCCAGCTTCGGCTGCTCGCCAGGCGGGTACTCCGCCAGCAAGACGGTGCCGTCGTTGATGCAGCTATATTTGATTGGCATCCGTCACGACGGGTTAAAAAACAAAAAACAAACAACAAAAACAAAAAAAAAAACTTCCTTTTTTTTTTTCTTTTGGACCCTTCCAACACCCAAAAACACGAACACACACACAAAAAAAAAAAAAAAAAAAAAGGGAGGGGGAGTAAGAAGATGACATCTTAGAAAATAGACACATGGCGCGTATCCGCAACTCCTAAAATATAATTCCACAGGTTCATCACTCTTTTCGTCCCTCGTTCTTTCCTTAAAAAAAAAATATATATATATATATATGAAGGGGACTGACAGGAAGGAAGTACCGCCTTGGGCATTACTCCTTTCCCTCCCCAGTTTCATTCCGATAGAAATATATTCGCTTTTCCACACCAGGAACACACAACAACACGTCAGATCCCATCGGCACTTTTAACTCACACACCCCTTCTCACAGACATGCATAGACACAAAAGGAAACAGTGTCCTTATAAATATCTCTGTAACAATTGTCGACCCGTGATGGTTTGCTCGTTTGAGCTACCAAGCGCTTCAAATATACCGAGAATGACTTGTCTTGCAGGCGTCTTGGCGTGTGGGCCAAGTACAAGGTCCTGCGGCACCACCCCTGCTTCCTTTAGCGCAGGCAGTAACTTTGGTTCAGCGCGAATGAGTCGCAAACACTCTTCGATGCCCTTGTGGTGGCGTTTCTCTACAAAATGTGCCACGGCCAACTTGAGATGCTGGCGATACAACGCAGCCGGGTCGTGTGTAAGGTCATCGTATGTGAGCAGCGACACATAATTGTCCTTTTCCACGTCAAAGTCAGCAATAATCAGCAACTCAATGCGATTCACCGCCTCTGCCACATCACGCAGATCCCGTGTGGCAAAAGGAAACTCCTCGCGTACCCGCTGCACGATGCGTTGCGCCTCCGCGTTTTCTTTCGTGGCCATCGCACACATGGCAAGACCGCAAAGTGCCTGTGGACTCACGTTATAGCACCCCTCACGCTTGAGACGCTCCCACATCTCTTGTGTCACCTTCCTTTCCCTTGAAAACCCCAGCCTTTCACGCGCCAATTGCGTCTCTGCCATGGCCATGTCATATGCCTTTTTGAAGAGCTCACGAGCCTTTGGGATTTCTTTATTTTTCAATCGAGTGTGAGCGACGTTCAACAACGTCATGGCGTTCTCATCGTCCTCGTCGCTACGCTTCACCTTTTGAAAAACGGACGTGCCGCTCATCTCATTTTTGCTCTCCTCCACGGCGTAGTCAATAAACGCATCAATCGCCTCCTTTACCTGTGACTCGGGGACAATCCCCACCATCTTGTCAGCGTACACCTTGTTGCGGACAAAGTACACAATGGGAAACATGTGCGGGTCGACACTAAATTTTTCCGTCAATCCCACTTCCCGGAGGCAGTCGACAAGCCCCAATTTTATAGCAAGGCCTCGATCTTTGCCAAACTCCTGGTACTTGTCAGAAATGCCGCTACTTTGCAGGCGGCGATTCGCTGCATCAACCTGCACGCTGAGCCGCTCTGTATATGCCACAACATCCGGATTGTTTGGGACGTGAAAGTAAAGGAATAAAGGAACTTTTGACGACATTTCGTCGTTGATGTTTCGCGATGTGAATTGGATAACCCCCAGCCGTGCCGGGGGTGCACCTGACGGGGGTGGTGTTGTCCCCCCTGTTGAGAAAGGAAAGAACTGGGCGGCTGAAACCCCTACGGCCCCCATGTGAGCACGCCAGACGCGGTACATCCCACGGCTACTGCTCCCGTCACGCTTCTATCCAATTTTTCTTACAGCAACGACGACTGAGGCAACGGTGGTGATTTATATATACACACACACACACTCACAGAGAGAGAGAAAGAGAGAGAGAACTAAAGGAAAAAGAGAAAGAGAGTTTGTGGAAATGTACATACGGAGATGCATAAATATTTCCCTTTTTTGTCCCCCCCCCCCCACAGAATGTGTTTGCGCGCATTCCTTCTCCCTTTTTCTTTCTTCTCCGTAATAGATGTCGTCTTATATGAAGAACCGATCGTCTATGAGAGTCTTTGAACTGATGTTCGCCACGCCTTCGCTCATGCGGTACCACCGTATGAATAACTCCAACGCAAATGTGATGACAAGCGCCACCCACACATTATGCATAGAGGCATCCACAGAGGCATACAACATGGTGTAAAGTACAAACAAATCAACATCTAGGCCGTACAGAAATGCATTCCCGTAGGCAAGTACATCATCCACAAAAAAAAGATCTTTACCGGACTTATCACCGGACTGAGGCCCATTCATGTACAAAATATTTGGTGCCAGATCAAACCAACGATGAAAAATAAACTTCATAAGCAGTGTTCCCTCAGCACTTCGAACACTCTGCTTTAGAACACTATTGATACGCGTTTTTATCGCTAATATCTCTGTGTTATACACACGTGACTTACGGGAAAAACCAAGAACACACTCTAATAAATGCCATTGACGGCCCGGTCGAATGGGTGCCAATGCCTTCCCTGAGGATCGCTGGTACTCTGCTTCAATCTCTGCGTAGCACATGTAGAGATATTGACGCATGTATATACCCATAAAGACCTCAAATGTTTGGCACTTGCTTTGTCCACCAAGACCACGCACCGGCAGGTTGCCTTGAGACTCCAGGTACAAATTTTGCTGAAACTCCTCCATGCTGACATCGGAGTGTGCATGAATCGACTCGCCGTGAATGTAATAACCCCACTGGGTCTCGGGAAGAATCATGATGGAGATATTCGACACGGAGCAAAGGTCCACAAATGCCTGCAATGGATGTACACAAAAAAAGCGGTAGTAAATCTGAAACTCAAGGATGTTTAACACAAGAGAAACAGAAAACCAAAAGAACGTCCCCATCGCTATTCGCATTACTGTGAGGGAGTAGGTTCCCGCCTCGTCTGCCCCTGACGTCACAGGCACACTCTCGGTGTATTTCAGATAGTTCAGACCAACGAGAAAAAACAAAACAACCGTCATGCTAAGAAGCGGCCGCCACTGACGAAGAACTTGAAGTTCATTCAATTCATTTGCAACAAATGTCGAGCGCCACATGCTGACAGGTAAAATGCGATTTTCACGTAGTAATTGCCCTTTACTTCGCTCCCAATCAATGACAAAATAATCCGCATTGCACTGCTCCACAATTTTATAGACAACTGCAATGCCCTTTGCCGCAGTGGCTGTGTATAACATCGCCTCTAGAAACACGTAATTATCACTCAAGAAAAGACCCAGATTGGGCTCTTGAGCTCTATACAAAACAAATATATACCATGATGCCAATGACACAACGAGAGCAAACAAATTCCCAATATGGTTGCAAAAGTACACCATAAACCTAATGACGGCCCCAATGCTAAGCATCACGTTCTGTCGACGTCGCATCCATCCATACGTGCGTATCCAGGCAGAACAAATACACAAAATACAAAAAATAATCATGGTAATCATCATCCCTTTATTCACTGAACTGGAAGCTATAAAAAGCACAGATACACCACCCTCTACTATGTTATTTGCAGTGCGTGCCGTCAAATCTCCATTATGAGCCTTCTTCAGGCCTGATGCATACTGAAGATAAACGACAGGTTTCAAAGAATGATGATCTCCATAAACATCCACCACTTCCAAAGCAAATAACACATGACGCAGTGCTGTGACGTAACAGGGTGTCTTCTCTGTGACTTGTGGGACGTCCACCTTACAATCCGTAAGAGTGTCATACAGGTAGAATCGTCGTCGGTAACCAGTTGCCATGGCACGCCGTAACGTCCCATCGCGTAGGCTTCGGGGATGGATGTTGCCAGTGGTGTAGTCCATCACAACAGGGACCGGCACAAGGCGGGATGTGTTCGTGAAATCCATCATAAAGAGCTCAAAAAAGTGTGTGGGACCGGCGTCCTGTAAGAGTTTGTACCAATCAAAAAAACACCGAAGCCTGCGATTGGATCCGACTTTAAAGAAACTTGAGATATCGGCATCTGAAATACAGCATAGATTCAACACCTCGGATACATGGCGAAGTCCCTTCAGATTTCCACGCCAATCATACACTGCCACAAGAAACGTCATTGGGTCACCAGCGGCCGTGATATTTGTGGTTGCCAGCAGGACGCCATCGTCACTGGTGTAGGTGTCGGTATTATCGCCGTCAAACAATGGCGGCAGTCGGCGGTAGGAAGTGCGCTTATCGCGGACCGAAAGATACAACTTGCAAGGCAAGGAATCCACATCATACATCATCAACACACACATATTGAACAGGAGACTACAACCCACTGCCATCCCACGCATACACTGCACGGCGGAATCCATGGCGTAAATTCGCACCACCACAGATGTTACTGACGGACCCAAAATCCCTTTATTGTTAAGATTCAAAGGTTGAAACGTCGTTGTGGCACCTACGGCCGCCACGACCACCCCATTATACACCTCCGTAGGAACACAGGACGCATCATACAATGTTGTGTAGCCGCTTGCACACACACACTCTCCCGTCTCTTTCAACGAGTATGGAAATACACACCCAGAGCAGCCATCAGGACCACAGGGAACACACATTTGAGACTCCAAGAGCCGTTTGCCTACCTGCTCCACAAGTTCATAGTCCGCCGGGCAAACGCACTTTCTTGTCATCTCATCGTGTGTGGGGTCCACGAGCTCGGAAAAAGTCCTATCACCTCCACACTGCACACAGCGCTCAGACTGATTTACATATGGAATCATTCCAACAACTCCCCCTGTGAGGTTGCAATCCACGCACTCCGTGTCTCCTGTTTCCACTCGCACAATCCGCGAAAAACCCGGCAAGCAATTCACCTCCACATCCAAAAATAAAACGCCAGCAAGAGCCATACTTTGCTCAAGTGATTTCCAGTGTCGCAATGCATTCGTGTCTCCCCGCACAATGCCGTCCGCTCTGGACGCACAGTAAGCCATACAAAGCGCCTGAACAGGCGAACAAACGCAGAACAGCAGGCATGAGAGGCAGGCGAGAAGTGACAAACGCATTGTAAGAGTACAGAAGCAAAGAAGCCACCGGCCTAAAAACGGCGGGTTAAAATACCTGCCGCCCCCCCACCTACAGTCAACATCCAACAAAAAAAAAAAAAAAAAAAAAACACACGCATTCGCCATTGAAGCACACGCAGCCCATGCAGAGTATTAAAGAAGAAGAAGAAGAAGAAGAAGAAGAAAAAGACAGCTAAAAATGAAGCATTAAGTTGTCTACGCCTCAATATATTTTTTTTTTTTTTTGTGTTTCTCCCATCCCACTTCCCACCCCACACAAAAAGAATGAACAAAACAAAACAAAAAATCGAATTCTCCACATGCCCGACGACTCGTTCTCAAATAAAACAAAAACAAAAACAAAAAAACGTGACGTTCTCAAAAAAAGGGAATTTCCCCCCTTTCCCCCCTTCACTGTGGAATGCGATGCGACTGAGATGTAACAGGACTGCCGAAACTAAAAGAAGAAAACACCAACAACAAAAAACGGCTAAAAGAAGAAAAAAAAAAAAAAAAAAAAAAAGGAGGCGAAATTCGTTTTCCATTTATTATTATTTTTTTTTTAATTATTTCTTGCCTTTTGTCTTTTGTCTTTTTTTTTTCTTTTGTTTTTTGTTTTTTTTTTGGATGAATCACAGAGAAGCATTCGCCATTGAAGCACACGCAGCCCATGCAGAGTATTAAAGAAGAAAAAGAAAAAGAAGAAGAAGACACATAAATGGAAAACAAAATAATTTGCCAATGTCATACAAAGAAATATAAAAAACAACAATCCAACAACCAAGAAGAACGTGTGCCATGTCGCTCACAGGTCCATTTCCCTATAAATATATAAATATATAAATATGCCTACCTTTCGCACATATAACCGAGTTGTCCTCAACACGTTATCAAAGGGAAAAGAAACCACGTAATTTTTTAATACACGCACACAAATGCCTGCATGCATGCACACAGACACACACACAAATGCCTGCATGCATGCACACGGACACACACAAATGCCTGCATGCATGCACACGGACACACACACACAAAAAAAAAAATATTTTTGCACTTTTTCAGTTTTATCGCATGAAAAACAACAAAAACAAAACAACAATGAAAAAAAAAAAAAAAAAAAAAAAGTGGCCGATTACAGAAGCACAAAGAATTCGACGATTTACACATGTATCATTTGACAAAGCACAGATTTCCTCCCCATTCCCATCCCTTCCCAAAAAAAGAAGAGCAACAACAAAAATAAAATTAAAAAAAAAAAAAAAAATGGGTTTTTGAGGAAACAGAAAGCAATCAAAGAAAAGTAGGCATAGATTATTTGTCCATAGCTGACCCTAGTCCTACTAATATATGCAGAATTTTCATATATATAAATAAATACATACATACATACATATATATATATATTGAACATTGACCGCACAATGGAGCATGATTACTTGACAACACCATATATGGTCGATGTCGTTCCAAAGCATATTACAACGATACCGGCAAAGAGCAGTAAATATGTGCAGGTGTAAAGAAAAAAACCGGTTTTTGCATAAGTGAAGCCGCCGCTGTAAATGAAAAAGAGCGCGGGAAATACAAAGGCGATAAATCCACCCGTCAGTGAGCCAAGCAGGCCAAATACAAGGTTCACGTTCGGAATAAAAAGACCGGCAATAAGCGCAATAAGGCACACAACTGTGCAAAGTACCGCATTCTTCCACCATGCAACGGTGTCCAGTTTCCAGCCCAAAAGATGATGAAGCGAATCACGGCACGGAAGAATGTGGAGAGAAAAGGCCACACAAAGCTTTATGACAATGCCAATATACGCGACAAACATCATCGCATCCCTCATTGGCTTGAACATCTTCAAAATAGATGAGGTAACATCCGAGCCAAAGTCCGCGTAACCAAAGAAACCGGTAAGCCAATAAAGAACGGTGCAAAGAAACATACTGATTGCTGTCTCCAAAGTCATTCGAAATGCAGTACTCTCCGGCTTCATCTCGTTCCATACCTCAAACATGTTGCTTTGGCATAGGTATGCAAACATGAGCTCCCCAAGTCCTTGAATCCCCTCATTTCCACCCCTGAAAAGAACAAGATCGTTACGAAGCCCATGTTTTAAACCATTTCGCACACTGTGGACAATGCTGACAATGACAAAGTAAATAATAAACGAAACCGCAAAAAATGACACATATCGTACAGAGTTGATACGCTTCGGAAGCGACAATGGAAGCATGAACAAGAAGAAAACGATGCAATTGACAACGCGAACAAAGCTTTTTGTTCGCCAGTACCCAGTCACAGAATCATCGCCAAGAAACGCTTCAATAACATCGCCAACTGAGATGACATACGCGACACATGCACCAAAGCACTTTATAAACATGACTATCGCAGTGAAAATATCACCACCACGCCCAAACAGCTGACGAGCCATTCCTTCATAACTGCGAATGCCGGTCTTTAGCGACGTCACTGCCAAAAGATACATGGAAAAAACGGTGAGTAGGTAGATGGCAATTAAATAGATGGTACTCGCCACAATACCCGAGAAGTTAAATGCGGAGGCAAGGGCGAGAATTCCAGCACCAAGACTGCTTCCAGCAAGATTAAAAACACCAGAGAGAATACCGCCATCAGGAATCAAGCGCCTTGCCGTCTTTACAATGCAGTTCGGTTCCTTTGGATTCTCGCTGGTCTCTTGGGTCCTGGAATTCAAATCCCCATTTTTTCCGTACGTCCCGTGATTAGCTTGTGGAAGATATTCAACTTTGTTGGCCATTTTTGGAATATCCTAAATCCGGCAGGGAAATCGGCTTCACGTAGAGTAAAAAAAAAAAAAAAGGTAAACCAGAAGACATGATTAATAGCAAAATGCATGCGCATACACAGAAACACAATATAAAAATAATAATGGCCCTCCCCATTGCACGCCGACACCCACTTCGCCAGTGAATTACACAGCCCAAAGAGAAAACAAAAAAAAAAAAAGAAAAAAAAGATGAAATTCCGACATGTATTATTTAAAGGGAAAATACCAAACGACAATCCGCATCGCATGTGTTTCCGGGACACCAAAACACCATAACGCAATCTCTCTAAAGAGAATAGCAATTGAAACAACAGACTCCTCCGTTTCTCGCATTCTCTTCATTATCGACAACACACGCCTTACAAGCATTTTTCCCACAGAGGCAGCATAGAACGTCACATTCCTTGCACACCCAACACCTGCAAACGCTACAGTTCCCATTTGTTGTCAACCCACAAAGTACACATTTTGTACCCCCATTTGTTAACTGATCCCGGTCGCTAAATGCAGCCGCTATCGCTCGAGTTATTGAACGCTCGTCGTCCATCACATGCAATGAAATCGAACCATACACACTTTTTGGCAAAGGAAGGCCACTTAGGTAAACAGTGGCGGTACGATTTAATGTGTCGATGTGGATAAACGGCGCATTTTCATGTTTTTCTGCATTATTCATTAAAACAGTGAGTTTCCTGGGGAAAAACAACAGTTCTCGCTCCAACTGAAGCACCCCACGTGCAATTTTCTCCAATGTATGGCAAGAGCATCGAAAAGGGCCATGGTACTTGCAGGGAAGCCATAGTCGCTGTCCAATAAGGTGATCACACGGTCGGTTCACTTCGCTAAGGGAGAGAATATGGCATTCATTTATCACACCAACTACACGTGGTGCAAAGAAGAATACAAGCCCAGGAAACATGTCCTCATCCAGCATATCAAAGGCTATCGGCCTGTATAATCGCACACAGGTGTTCCAGCCACCGCAAGAAAGGTACACGCGACAGGTTTCATCTCTTTCATCACCCTCTTCCCTTTCTCGCTTTCTGCTCATTCATTCATACGCTAAAAAAAGAAAGGTGATTTACTCTCCCAAGGCAAATTAAAACGCATATGAAAAGGAAGAGAAACTCACAAAAGCAACAAAAACAGAAACAACAACAGTAAGAGATTGTATCGTGAGACAATCAAACACGTTGCAAGGACACACACACAGAGAGAGAGAGAGACACTCCATCCTCCACGAGTAACAAATACCACAAAATGATTGAAAAAATATATATATATATAGATGTAAAAGCACCCATTTACAAATTCTTTAGTACTCACGTGCAAAAGTAACAAAAATAACAACAATAAAATGCAGCGTTAAAACTGTGCAAAAAGCCAATTGAGCAAAACCTCGCGATCTTCTGCATCCAAGATTCGATACAACCGCACCAGTTGAATCAACCTTGTCAAGTTATGTATTACAAGAAGTGTTTTACTATTCATCTCTTGCACTGTAAGAAGGTGATGGATATATGCACGCATATGCCGCTTACACGTGTAACAATTGCAGTCTGGTGAAAGAGGTCGAATATCTTTTGTGAAGCAGTCATCATTCAAGTCTATTTGTGTTTCATAACGTGCAGGAGACACACCACTTACTGGATTGAAGTCAAACACCAGGCCTATTCCTTTCTCCGCCAATATCCATGGAATTGCACTCTCAATAAAACATACATTGTATTTTAAACAAATCAGTAAAGATGGTAAAGAAATGGCAGTACTCATAACCTGCCCTTTATTGTTAGCCTCCTTTACATGGTATGTGTATTGTTGTAAAGTCTCATTTTGACAAAGTTCCTCCAAAAAAATATACTCGCCATTATTCTCCGCAGCACATAAGGGTTTCATTAACTTACAATTGCCATTGCCTTGAAGGGAGTCCGCAGATGTTGCCCACTTTGCTGAACGGGTCATTGCCGTCCGTCGGCGCTTTGTTTGAGGCTCATGTATTGAAACAGAGTCATAGGGAGGAATGGCTATTTCTGGGCGAAGTGGCAAAACCATTTCCTTCCATTTATCCACACCCAATGAAATTCGACCCTTTTCATGATTCGCACACAATCCTGCGTCTGTTGCAGGAGCGCTAGCATGCATGCCAATATGAGGACTTCGCACAGTGAGGATGGTCCTAAATTCCCCCAGCCCACAGAATTCGGCAAAACCCTGATTGGCGTTTTTGCAGGGATCCACACATTCGCTTGCGTCGAAGATGGACACACTGATCACCCGTTCTTCCTCGTTAAGAATTGCTCGTGCCTGATCGGGCGTCAGACAAGGAATACCGCCCCGTTTGCAAGGAACCACCAAAATGGGGTATTCTTTGGCCATTAACCGCTTTAATCACTTGCCCCACAGAATGAAGTGAAGAGACGCATCAAACACCCCATACACGCACAAAAAAAAAAAAAAAAAAAAAAAAAAGAAATCCAAAGAAAAGCGAAAAAAGCCTTTTTTTTTCACTCGGGGCTTCCACCATCCCACATGATGTAAGAGGAGATCATTTCAGGCACCTCGCCATTCGCGTCTACTGGCACAGCGCCGCCAGCCAACATAACCATTATCGTGCACCTGTGTAAAACTCAAAAAGAAACCCAACGACGGATAATTAGCCTCCTCACAGATCTGCTTAAGCCTCCGTCCTCACCCACATCACTTCTATTTGTTTAAAAACAGATATATAGGTGCCATTACATACACAAGTGCAGAAATAAACTAACTGAGTGATAACGATAAAAGTGTAGAAACAATAATAATAAAAACGATAATAACAAGAAGGAAAAGAGGAAAACGCACAATATCTATCTTTCCGTCCCTCTCCTTACATATATAGTCATAACAAAAAAATAACGTTATTGCTCTGATCCAAACACGCTATCCCAATCTACGCGAATCTTTTTCTTATTCATCCTCACCTCAGTTTCATATGAACTTCGCGAGGGATCCATTTTACTCCTTCTGTCAAACCCACTCATTGAAGGCAGTGTAGAATGTGAATTCCCGTTGTTTGAAGGCGAAAAGGAATGCAACGACGCCTCTATCGTTCGATAAGGGCCACTATATTGAGTATCTTCTGCAGTTGGCGCTACGGATAACCTCGAATAATTCTCCGAAGCTTGACCCACGTCCCCAATCCTCATCCATTCCTGCTGTCGAAGCCAATTTTTTTGCACGTGACTAAAAATGGAACTTTCCTTCGATGCGTTGGATGAGAAACGATCTGGTGCGACACCAGGGCTTTGACTTTCCCGTTTTTCCTCGTATGATCGAGCTCGGGAAAGCGCAAAATCGGTGATTGCCTTATTAATGCGTGCGTCCGCAGCTGCACTTCTCTCAGCCCTGGCTTTCATTCCGGCAGACTGCGGCCGCAATACTACCGGGGTCTTTAATTGCAACTTCTCCATTCGTCGTCGTCGTTCAGCCGCAACTTTCATGTAATGTGAGCTAATATACTGGTGCTGAGAAAATAACTCAAAAAACGCGTCAGTTTGTTCCACCTCAATGTTTAGCCGCATGCGGTCCTCTTTTCGCACTAATTCACGAATCTGAATACGTGTTTTCTGTAATATCTTCTCCAACAACCGTTGCTCCTCCTGCCTCTTCATGCCCCTAAGATAATCCATGGAGCTTAGCCATTGCGTCCATGACTTTTCATCTGTGATCCGTTGAGTATCCAGAGCCCGCGCCTCTCTTCGCTCTGCCCCACAGGCAAGTTCACGCTCATATTCCAAAGAAGCGCGCCGCTCCTCCAATAGTTGTCGATACAAGCGAATGCGTACAAGCTCCCCTCGGACGTGACGTTGAATACAAATAGCGGCTCTACGGCGCAATTCTTCTAGACGCCTCGCCTCTTCGACTCGTCGACGCTCATCTTCAATTGCTTTCCGACGACGCTCTCGCTCTGCAGTTTCCATTGTCTCTTGGTAAACTCTTCTTTCGGCCTCTAATTCTTTTATGAGTTTCCACGACGTGTCTTCCTCGAGTTCGTATGAATGTCGAAGGTCCGCTTCCTGCAAATGCATATCTTTCGACGCCTTTTCCAAGTTTTTCCGCGCGATTTCGACCTTGTGGAACAGTAAAAAGATGTCATATACCCCGCGCCGCGTTAAGTATCCCCGAGCAATTCGCTGAATAATCAGTGATGTACAAAGCAAATACCGGTCCCTCAACTTTTCTAGCAATTTAAAAGCCTCTGCCTTAAGAAAAACCTTGGTTTTGCCTATTTGAGCCAGAGAAGGCATGCGTATTTGAGCCATTTGGAGTACATGCTGTATAAATTCCTTTTCGTCTTTCGTAACCACAGATGTACACATTCGATAATTCCGGCAGAACAAAGCTCGTGGAATACGTACTGGATATCCGGCTTTTCGAAGCTTCACTGTGGCAAGAACACCACTTGACTCCAGTTGTCCCATGACTTCCCTACCGTAAAACATTCTGGGTTTTTTATCAGGATGGGGCTTAATACACCGAATCCAATGTGGATTCGTCTCGCCAATTAAATCCATAAGAGCTCTCAGCTGATTACAAAAAAAACCACCCACAGTAAAAGCTTTACCTCCCTTTTTCCGCTCCGATAAGGGGATGGGTGCTGGAAGGCAGCTTGCAATTACACGATCACCGCTAGCTCGTACAATGGACTTAATGGAATCTTTAAGTGTATCTCTATTTTTTTCAACCCAACCAAATACGTTGTACGTGACATCCGCTGCATAGTGACGCACACAAAAAGTTTCACCAGAGACACGTTCCTTCTTAAAAAATGAGTTGGATTCATGAGTATGCACCACTTTTTCTAAAAATCCAAGGTCTGTTCCTCCTCCAAACCAACAACATTCATCAAGAAGAGGAAAAATGCCGCCCTGTGCGGTAAGCAGTTTTAAACAGCCTGTATTGTCAGTGAACTTAATATCTGTCACATCCACCCCTTCCATTCTACATTCGTCCATATCACGCTTAAATATGTGCAGGTTATAATGATACTGAAGCTGCTCATTCGTCATATTGATACAAAGCTGTTCAAAGGAGTTCTTATTAAAGTTCTCAAAACCAAAAATATCCAGCAAACCAATCCAATTACCATCGTTTTCCACATTACACAAATCATTGCACCGGTCAACAATCCAGCCAAAAACACCATCATACAAATGTTTACACATGGCATCACGGATGTCGACAGCTGCCACAACATCGTTTTTCTTTAAAGCAAACTCATTGTCAGGAAGTGCACGAGTACTAGTCAGAAGTTCATGTACAAGATCATCTTCACATACATCAAGCAATTGGACGGCCTTTTTGGTATATTTCATGGTTTTTGGATCAATAGAACAGCCATCTTCTTCTGGAAGAAACCGAACATTAAGCAATGTCATTACAGCTGCTGTCACACGCCAGACAGAGATAAGCTCGACATCTGTCATCCCAACAATAGACATGGCCCGACAAACGTCATTAAAGTCTTTTTCAGAGTTATACTCACTATTATTCATTGTCCCCCCTGAAGAAAGAGATGTATATTGTTTCTCATGCTCAAGACCAAGGACACGTGCCATACTCCCTTGAGCACGGGCCAATAGATAAAATGAGTGGAATACGCGCTCGCCCTGAGCAGCAGATACAACACGACTTTTTTCAAGAAGATACTTTATATTTTCAGCGCCAACGACAACGTGTTTGGCATTAAATTTTACTTTCATGAATTTGCCAAACCGAGAGCTATTGTCGTTCTTCACAGTTTTTGCATTTCCAAAGCACTCCAAAATAGGCGAACATGCAACCAACTTTTCACCAACACCCCGGGCAGCTTCTTGTTCTAATTTGCTTCCATTCAGTGATGAAACAACGCCCAAATAATTTAGAACTATTTTTGTTGCCTCTGTTTTCCCAGCTCCAGATTCACCGGAAACGATAATGCATTGGTTTTCCTGACTGTCCACCATCTCATAGTAAGTGACATGTGCTTGAGCCCATGTGTGTGGCAACAAATTTGAGGGCATACCAGAAACGCTCAAACTACGACCCGCATTTAAATATTTTTGCATTTCACTCTCCTTATACCATGGGATAGCAAAAGTAAATGGATTTAGCACCACCACT